AAATATTTTTTTAAAGACTTACAGCCTCGGAAATACTATGCAGGATCGTTATGAGTTGGAACCGACTCCACGGCAGACCACCACCACCACCACCAGAGGCTACCTGCATTCGTTCGTGCATGACCTCTTCCTCCATCTTCGAATTTCTCTCTGACTCTATCTCTCTTCTTTCATCATTATATCTCCCCTGATTTTCCTAAATCCTTCTTATACAGACTCTTAGAATTACATTGGAGCCACCCAGATGGTGCAGCCTAATCTTTCCATCTTTCACGTCACCATATCATGCAGCCTCCCCTTTGCCTTATAAGGTAATATTCACAGGCGCCAAGGATTAGGAGGTGAACATCTTCGCGGGCTATTGTTCTGTCCACCATATGCCTTTTCTTGTGATACCCTTTATCCTTACAGCACCCCCCCCCTCCATCTCCACCCTTTTGTGACAGAATATTGCTGTCCCAGGGTTTTCTAAGCTGTCATCTTTAAGAAAGCAAATCTCCAGGTCTTTCTCCCACAGAGCCTGGTCAGTGTGTTTGAACTGTCAACTTTTCAGTTGCTTAACCACTGCACCAGCAAGTAATTCAATTCTCAAAATAGCACTCTAAGAAAGGTACTATGAATAGCTTTCCTTTAGAGGTAAGGAAGTGGAGTTTTAGAGAGATTAAGTCCAGGTCCCACACTTGACTCATGGCCTCAAGCCAACCAGAGATTGCCTGATCCAACATGTATCCTAAGGAGCAAGCTCTGGCCCATTCCTCCTTCCTGGGCTATGGATTAGACAACCAGGTAATCTGATTGTTCTGGATGGGGAGGAGTCGCTTGGCCACCTGGAGAGAACAGGCAGGTGAGTCAGCACAGTCAGCCCAACAGAGCACATGGGGTGAGTCAGCACAGTCAGCCCAACAGAGAATTTTTATGCCAATTCCAGGAGCAAGACGGTCAGAAAACCAGTTTAGATGGTTGCATTTCTAGGGCCTGTTGTGTCACTGTGAGTTAGGCACTAGGTAAGATTGGTAATTCAACCCTATCAGCCACTCCACACCAGAAAAGTGAGGCTGTCTGCTCCCGTAAAGATTTAATCATAGAAACCCTACATAGGGATGCTATGATTTAGAATCAACTCGACAGCAACAGATTTGGTTTGTTTTGGGGGGTTGCTGACTTTTGGAGAGCAAGTGTACTAATTCTTTGAGAGCAGGATGTCCTAGAAGATCTTGGATGGTTGATAGCAAACCTAACGGGTCACATGCAGGTTCTCGGATAAGCTGCTGGACAGGGTAAGCCTGGGGTTGGGGGTGGGAGTGGGGGAGCATCAGCTGTAAAGAGTCAGTGAGGAGTGGCAATCTGAAGCAAGCGCATCCTCCTTGCTGTCCGGTCAGGAGAGCAGAGTTTGAATCTAACCGCCCTTTCATGCTTTTTCAGTATAAGCCTTCTCCAAGCACATCTCCCAGGTCACAAGTCAGAGTTAGAAAATCAACCATAAAAGGTTTTTATTTGGATTTGGAGTGGGGAGGCTGGGTTTTTAATGGATTCAATGACTGTCCTAACACAGTGCCCAGTACATATGTGGCACTTGAAAGTTTCAAAAAGTGTCTTTGTCTAGTAACATCCTGGTCTATTTCATTCCTATTTTGTTTCTATCGTATTCGTTTTTTTCTAAATTTTATTTTGTTGTTGAGCATGTACACAGCAAACATGTGCCCATTCAGCAGTTTCTCCCTATAGGATTTAGTGATATTGATGACATCTTCAGGATGTGCAGTCATTCCCAACCCTCTTTTTATTACTTGTTCCTCCCCAGTGAACATAAACCCACTGCCCCTGAGATTCCTATCTAATCTTTTCAGTGGCTGTTGTCAATTTGATCTCAGAGAAAGTTCTTAAAAGACCAGAATGCTCAAGGCAGACCATTTTGTACTAGTTAAGCTAAACTTTCGTTCAGTTTTAAGAAGACTTCAGGGAACATTTTTGGTTTACAGTTTAAAGATTATCTCAGTGCAAAAATTTCAAGAGTTTACCCAGAAAGTTTAAAGTCCATGAGAATTTTTTTTTTAATGTTTTATTGTGAATTCTGTGACACTTTACATGGGAGA